AATGTATCAGGTTATCAAATGTATTCAGCATCTCCACTTGCAGTGAGCTTGAATATTGATTATACGTCCGCTCTTGTAAAACCTTTGGTTTATCTGTTTAGCAGCCTTTGTGCTAAAATCATTGAGAGTGACAAGTGTCTCTCGTCTTCTGAGACATCTGTGTCAGCTGAGCTTTGGTCTGGGAGTGGGGGGATTTCCTGGCTCGTCTTCTTCTCCACTGTTTCCTTCCTTTACCCTTCCTGTCTTCTCAGTCTCCAGCCTTCCCACCTCAGGCCCTTAGCCTGGGTGAGCGCCCTTCCCCAGATACACCTCCTTCGCATGCTGGATCAGATGTCATGTCCTTAATGAGGTCTGACCCAAGTCACACACAACCTACCTGCTCCACCCTGTGGCACTCTGCACCCACTATGTGCTCTAGCTTTTTGTTTGTTTTTTTTTGTTTTTGAAACAGGGTCTTGCTGTGTGTTTCAGGCTGGCCTTGGGCTCACTTTGTAGCCCAGGCTGGTCTCGAACTTGCAACAATCCTCCTGCCTCAGCCTCCCAACCCCCTCTAGTTTTTATTTTCCATTTTTCCGTAGCACTTTTACCACCTTCTATCATGCCACATAATAGACGCGTGTATTGTTTTTGGTTTGTTATTCGTCTTCCATGCTGCAGTGTAAGCTTTAAGAAGGCAGAAGACTTGGTGTATTTGGATCGTTGATGAATCCCAAGAGCCTAGCTCAGTGCCTGCCTAGCACATAGTAGGTCTGCATGGAGTATTTGCTAAATGGATAGCATCTCTTTCATTTCACCACCCTTTAAATGTCGGGGTCCTAGGGGCCCTCACTTTTATACTATTCCCCGGGAAGTCTTACCCATGTGACCTCGGAATCCTTGCCCAGCACAGACCTCCCGGACCCTGGCCCCCGACCACCTGCTTGCTGAGGGGTCTTCACTGCTCATCTGCAGCAGCACCTCCTGCAGGAAGCCTTCCTGGCCTCTCCTCTCCTCACCTAGCAGCCCTTGCCACGTCCTTCCCTGCTATATTCACAGGACATCATGGGCATCGTTTGTCCTCAGAACGGGAGCCTTATCGTCTTCATTTTTACTTAGAAGAGTGACAACATAACGGCATTTGTCGGGAGTGAAGTTACAGTTTTAAAAATAGGAACTGCTGGGTGTGGTGGCGCACACCCGGAGGCTGAAGCAGAAGGATCGTTGCAGGTTCAAGGCCAGCCTGAACTGTGTTGTGAGACCCTGTCTCAAAGAGACAAAAAGCAAAAAATATCAAAAGTAGGAACTACCCCATTTGCGTCCCAGGAAATGTGAAATATTTATGAAAGTATATAAAAGAAACTAAATTTAAAAAAAAGAAAGAAACTAAAACGCTATGCACATTTCCACAACCCAGAGGCAAGCCCCACAGGTGGAGTCAAGTACGCACATGGACGCGCGTGCACATACGTCCCCGGGAGAGCCGGAAGCCTGGGAAAGAATTTCTTCTACAAAAACAGCACATGGCATCCGGTGAGATGCCGCGTGGGACACTGAGGGCTGGGCCAGCGCTCGGTGGGGCGGCGCTGACCTGTAGGATGTAGCAGTTCCCAAGCACCGACAGGGCCTCCTCGTGACCAGGGGGTGAGCCATGAACAAGGCCACCCCCACATCGAGTCCAAACAGAGACCAAGGCAGGGGCACTGCCCACAGCAGCATGACCAGACACCCTGTCCCGTTACTACAAGCACCTGGCTGCACGCCGGCGCCCCACGCTCGAGCTAAGGGTTATTAAGGCACCCGTCACATCACCCCTCCCTGGCAGGCGGCAGTCCCAGGTGGAGCCCGCTTCCGAGAGCCATCCCCGAGCCACCTGACTCCAGCCGCCTCTGGGAGCCAGTTCCTTGGGTCCGGCAGCGGGGAAGCCCCACAACTCCCACAGCACGGAGGAAGCCAGTCAACCCGCGGCGCGCAGCCCACATGTGCTCCGGTAGCCTCAGGCCGCAGCGTGCAGGCGGCGTCGTGCATTGCGGTGTCCCTTCTCTGCCCCATGTCTCACGAACCTGTTACGCCGGCCTCGCTATGTCAAAGGAGTGAAAGCAAAGTCAAGATGGAAACAGCGATCTGGCACAGTCTGCTGGCGGCCACTAGATCAGCAGCCAGCCTGTCCATAATGTAGCCGCTGAGCCCCTGCATCCTGTGGGCGGAGGACATCTAAGACAGGGGCCTTGTCTTCCCCGGGAAAGCAGTGTGGGAAGTAGCGGAGGGGTAGGTTAAGGAACACGTAGATAATAACCAGAGAACGGGCAGCCCTCCATCTGTGGCGGTGGAGACGAAAGGTGCAGTTAGGAGCACCCTACCCAGGTCAAGGAGGGTCATGCCTCTCCCCTCAGCCCAGTGGGCATAGCCCGGCTCCTGCTGACCCTCGCCAGGCCCCAGCAGAGACCCGTGTGCTCAGGTGCTGTGGACAGGCCCTACCTACACACCTCAGTAGGCTAGCGGGTTCTCAGGGCCCTCCAGGGTACTTTTCTGGCTGCAGCTTTCAACAATGGGTTTGTTTTTCTTCTGCCCTCGTTTCCTCTTACTCCTGTGGAAAAGTCAGCCGGGCCACCTGCTGTGGGGACAGGGTGAAGGGGCGCGAAGTGTGGCGGGGCGCAGCAGGACCGGCTTGTTAAGTCTCCTCTCAAGGGTTGTGCCCACTCGGCTGGGCGTGGGGCCCTCAAAGGTGATGTGCAGCTGCAGGTACCGGTAAGGGACCAGGAAATGCGTCCCAGGTACGTAGACTGGGACCTGACGGAGAGGGCTTAACTGTCCACTGACAACAGGGGTCTGCTTTCCTGATCGACCGCCTGCTTCCTTGGCACACCTGCTCTTTGTGATAGGCCCGGAGGTGGAATGGGATTGGATTGACACCCCGAGCAGGGCAGAGGGGCCTGCTTCTCCCTGCAGCCTTTGCCGCCCTCTCTGCTGGAGCTGCCGGGTAGGGAGCTCTTCCTGGGGCACCCTGGGCTGGGAGACGCAGGAGCTGTACTTGGCCGGGCCTCTGTCACACCCAAGGCTTCTCCGGGCTTAGACTCAGGCTTCTCCCAAAGTTCTGGCCGGAGGTTTGGGCTTTGCTCTTTTTGTTGGGGGCAGGAGGGGGTGATCTCATCCCTGAAGCAGATGAGTCATCAGAGAGACAGGGACAGCTCTGGGGGGCAGGATGGAGCCAGCTCTATGTAAATGAGTCATCTTCCCCGCCGGCTCCTCGGGGCTCCCCAGGAGAGGTTGTTAAGCAGGAGCTACCGGAGGCAGAAGTAGTTAACTGGCTTTTAATAACTCATTTTGCTGAATGATTTCTGGTGAGGAGAGAAAAGCTTAATCCCAGAGACAAAGGCAGGTGGGGGGCGCAGCCGGCCCCACCGCAGGAAGGCTGGGCCGACGAGGGTGGCTCTCGCCTCTGCTCACAGTTCATCAAAACCTTTCTGCATTAACAAGCACTTGGCGGGTGGGGAGGGCCCGGGATCCACCCCGGGGCCAAGGGGAAGAAGTTACTGGCCCTCCCCTGCTGGGCGCAGCCCTGTTTTCCTGGCTCCCAGCTGCTCACCGCCCCGCCCCTCCTGTCATTAAACAAAGGAAGTCGTCCGAAGGCCCCAGACAGCGAGCAGGGGAGGCCTTCCCACTGTCCTGCCGACTGGGGCCTCTGCATCCCCGGGCCACTGAGCACCGGTGGGAGATGGAGGCTCCAGTCCTGGTCCCATCGCACTGTGCAGGGAGGAATCCAGCACCTCTGCCCTCGGGGAGCTGCTCATCTAGTTCTGCCCATAGACTTAGCTTTCCCCCAGCAGTCCAGCTTTTAAATACACACGCACATAGCCATTCGACTCTAGGATTGAAAAAGATGGTGCAGCTGGGCGTGGTGGCACATGCCTACAATCCCAGCACTCAGGAGGCTGCAACAGGAGGATCACTGCGAGTTCAAGACCAGCCTGGGCTACAAAGTGAGCTCAAGGCCAGCCTGAACTGCATAGTGAGACCTTGTCTCAAAAAGGCAAAAAAAAAAGAAAAGAAAAAGATGGTGCTTACCTCCTGGTGGGCTTCCTACCCAGGGCAGGGGCCAGAGGTGAAGAAATTGAGGTCGGGCTTGGAGGGATGACGGCAGGTCCGGGGCAGAGCCCAGCCTGGGTGCACACGCGGGGACTCTGCCTCGTAGCTCCGTGTGCAGCAGGATTCGCTCCTCGCTTGCCTGCCTCCCCTGGGCGCCTCTGCTGTGAGCTTAGGGCCATACCTCGCCTGGGCATTTTCCAGTGATGCTTGGTGCTTCGGGCACTGCCATGACTGGGAGCCCTGTGCAGTCCTCTCGGCCACATCCCGAGGTCGGCCCTGACTGTATGCCTCAGTGCAGGGAGAAGCCCCAGGTTAGTGTCCGTGTGGCCCCCAGCAGCCCCGCTCCCAACACTGCCCACACTCGTGAGAAAGGTGGCACCGGCCCTTCCCACACGCAGGGAATGGAGACTCCTGAGCTGCTCTTCTGAGCGCCAGCTGTTCAGGGCTTCCGGGTGCCTTAGCCTAGAGGCAGCAGCCACCCACCCAGACGCGTGCGAGGTGGGCAGAAGCTTCTCCCAGTGCTCTCCTGGTCCTTCCCTAGATCCACTCTGCCAAGCAGCCAGAGCCCCGGGCGGGCACCAGCGGGCTGAGCCCCAGCTGTGCCCCGGGCCCTGTGCACCCCCTTCGGGCCATTGAATCCCCATCTTCGAGGCTGAACACAACTACCCCTTCCTCCACAGGTCTTTCCCAGTGCTACACCAAGGCCTGAGCCCTCACTGTCCCCTGAATGGTCTGGACGCACCTGAGGACCAGGTGCACCCTAAGTTCCCCCAGGGATCCTGTTGCCCTGAGGAGTGGAGCCATGCGCTAGCCAGAGGCGGCCTCCTTGCCTGTCCCCACGGAAGCTAGTGACAGTGACCTGCTTCCATCACTTTGAATTCAGAAGTCAAACTTCTGAATTCAAATCTGGCACTGCTGTCTTGACACCAGGCTGCTTAATGGGGCCCCGAGCCACCAGCCCTGCTGGCGAGTATAAGTCGCAGTAGGTTTAAGCAGGGTTCAGGGGCTCGTGCAGTGCACGTCCAGAGGTTACACAGGCAGCACGGCAGCTTTGATTTGACAAGACTCCTGGGACGGTAAGACTCGGCCTTCTGTGGTGTCAGCTTCGAGCTCAAGCGGGCTCTCCTGGCTCCAGTCCTGGGACCACCTCTTCCCCTAGGCTTTCAGGGCAGCTCTTCTAAGAGGGAGAAGCTTTTAACAAAGAAATACCCTCAAACTCTTCTCTCATCTCGCTGGCCTGAGTGGGGCCACACGGCGGTTCCTGAACCAGCCTCCCTGCACCGGTGGTCTTAGGCCACCCCACCCTTCAGCCAGTCTTGGAAAAGGACTGGGTTATCCTGGCTGGCAAAGACTAACAGAGCACATTCCTGCTGACGGGTCACTTCTGCAAGTGGCCTGGCCACAGCTCAGTGAGCTCAGTGCGGGGTTAGAGACGGCTGTTAAGGAGACAGCTACAGTGGAAACTCAAATGAAATGTTCCCGGTTGGACAAGCTTCCAGCCAGGAGGGTCACCTGGAATACTTTAGTAACTGTATCTTAAATGATTTTCGTCCACTTATATCACATCTATCTGGGGAATATTTGTTAAAATGCAGATTCCTCCTGTAATCCAGCACTTGGGGAGGCTGAGGCAGGACAATCATAACTCCGAGCCTTGCCAGGGCTTCTTATCCAAACCCTATCCCAAAACATTTAAAAATGCAGGGTGTAGCTTCATGTGAAGGCTCTTGGTTCAATTCCCAGTGAAAAAAAGAAAAAGGAAGAGAGCGGTTTTCTGGGTCCTGGACCACCTTTCTGAGAATACTACATAAAGCTTTGCAATGGGACCCGCCTTGGAAGCTGCATCTAATCGGAGCGGTTTTCTGGGTCCTGGACCACCTTTCTGAGAATACTACATAAAGCTTTGCAATGGGACCCGCCTTGCAAGCTGCGTCTAATCGTGCAGCCCGGTTTCTTAAACCAGCGCAGTCGGTGCATGCTGCCTGGGGTAGTTTTTAGCAGTGCCACTTTGACTGTCGAAAGTATCCCAGGTTGGACTGCAAGTGACTTCCTCCCACCCCTTCCGCAAGGTGACTGCAGAGCCCAGCAGAGCCCAGCAGGTCCCAGAGGGCCGCAGTCAGGCCTTCCCGTCTGTCTGGAGCGGTAACGGGCACGGGCTCCCGAGCACTCCCGCTTCTGAGAAACCGCTGGTGGCCTGCATTGCTGGGCTCCTTCATGGGGTGGCCATGACCCCCTGGGAGTGTGTGTCCCGTGTCCACCGGAGGCCGCCCCATGCAGAAGCGCGACGCAGATCCCGGCTGGCCTCGCCGGGCCGCGCCCAGGCTCTCTGAGCTGAACCCCGCAGGCCCTGTCTCCTGGCCCTATTTGCGAAGGCGGCAGCAGACAGGCTGTGGAATGAGCTTCACAGCTTTTGTCAAGCGGCATAATAAAGCCCCCAAGTGTCTGCCTCTTGCAAACTGAGATGGCAGATCAGTTGTGGCATAAACAAAGTAGCAAGCTGGGTGCAAACCTGGGGCTGGATTGCACCTCTGCAGGGTGTGACCGGGAGGAGGAGCCAGGGAGGAGGAGCCGGGTTTGCCTTTCCCCCAGCTGAGGCTTCCAGAGCTTGGGCCCTGCTCCCCAACTCCGGAAGCAGCTGCTGGGCAGCAGCGCCACACTAGGCCTGACCCATGGCTCAGCCTCCTCCAGCCCTGAGCCCACCGATGTTGATGGAGGAGAACAGGCCGTGCCCGGTCCCCTGGGCAGAGCCGACTGGTCAGCAGGGCAGAGGGGAAGAGAGGCAGGCACGAGGAGCCGGGGCTCGGGGCTCGGGGGCAGAGGGACACTGTCACCGGACTGTCAGAGCAATCCAGACCTGCCTGTCCCCTTCAGTCTGGGCAGAGTGCCACACAGCCAGTCACACACCTAGTGTACATGCGGGACCCGCAGTCACCGCCTGACCGAGGGATTGTGCTGAGTGTGGGCTGACCTCGGTCCTCGGATGGTCGTGGAGGGAGCGAATGGCTGGAGGTTGGTGCGAACGGCTGCACATCTGGTGCTGACCCCCCTGCGGGGGCCCCAGCATGAGGCCGCCCACCGGGGAGGGGGAGGGGTGGGGTGCGTCTCGTCCAGATTCAGTCCTGCAGGGAGGCAGATCCCAGATTCCCACGGAGGCTCTGGGCAGGCAGGGGAGCAGCCGGCCTGAGGGGGCCCTGAGGGTGGAGAGAGGACCTCGGCCGCGAGGAAGAGGCCGGCAGGGCAGGCTGGGGACCAAGGGGCAGATGCACACCCTGCCTGGGCCGGCCAGCCTGAGCCGGGGGCAGCATCCCGTCCGCATCTCACTCTGCATGCCGTCCCCCAGCCCCAGTCAAGTCCCACCTAGATGGCCCGCTTGTCCTAGATGTGCCAGGCGGGTGACTGAGGGAAGAGTGGAGGCCCCTTCCCTCTACCTCAGAAAAGGAGCAGGAAAGACCAGTGGAAGGAGAGCCAGAGGACAGACAGCCGGCTCCTGGGGACAAAGCCCCGCTGAAGGACAGCCCCCTCCCCATGAAAACTCTCTTGGCTGCAGCCCCGAAGGACTTCGTTCGGGTTTCTAGGAGCAGCAGCAGTCCCTGTGGTCCTCCTGTGTGTCCTGTCAGGGAGCCTGTGGTAGAGATAGTATGGGCTTCACACGCCCGCAGAAGCCAGAGATGGTGGCCTAGCCTGTAATCCCAGCACTCTGGTAGGCTGAGGCGGGAGGATCAGCAAGTTCAAGACTAGCTTGGGCAACTTAATGAGACCTTGTTCTGAAATAAAAATGTCTAGGGGTATAGCTCAGAGGGAAGGCCCTAGGTTCAATCCCCAGTACCACAGAGAAATGGTGCCGTTAGGCATAGGGTTTAGTCTGGGCTCCATTTTCAAGCTGCTGTAATCCAGCACTTGGGGAGGCTGAGGCAGGACAATCATAACTCCGAGCCTTGCCAGGGCTTCTTATCCAGA